TCATATGCTCATGGCGGCTCGCATCCGAATTTCGGTGCCGGTCATACAAATTTATTGCTCATTCGCGGCGTATGCGGTCGACGTCATCAACATCAACACGATGGGGAGGGCTCGCTTTTTGGCAGAGGGCGCTGAAATATTCATAATCAACGCGGCATTAGAAACGGCTGCGTTTGAATTTCGTTTCGTTTTATCGCCCCAACCCTCCTGGATGCAGCCTGAAATGAATCAGCGCTTGTGGCAAGTGAGGAGTTGTGCCTGTGGATGCCACTGTTAGAGCTGCAATCCGTATTATTTCGATACCGATATTGCAACTTAAACATTTTTCACACAGATGTTTCTAATTGTTTTCTTACTAGCTGTTTTCTTGCATTCCAGTAAATGCAACAATCCCTTCAGTTCATATGGCTATCCCGCTGAGTTTATATCCCTGGCTGCAGGCTACTGGCTGCCGGCTGCTGTCTATCTGTCCGCCGAGTCGGGAAAGCGACAATAACAGCCATTAAGTCTGACCAACACGTAACCGGGCAATAAACAAGCGTGACAAATGATGCTGCTAAATGAAAGTTGATTGCCAGTTGACGGCCACACCTGTTTTGACTGCCCGGGCAGGAGCTGGGCCAGCTGGCTACCAGTTGGGCAGCCACCGGGCAGCAATCAAAACTGTCAGAGTTACAAGCAGAAAGAGTACTTGCAGTGCAGGAGGCAGAGCGCGCAAAAAATCACAGCACGAACGCCACGCAACGGAAGTTAGTGCAGAAGCAAATGCCGCTCACATCGTTATAGCCCGCCCGGATACGGATCCGTCGTACTGGCTTGTCCAGTTCCATCGTGGCCGTATTAATAATGATGGCGGCAGCGGCAAAACGCAAAATGGCTGACGCTTTTGCTGTCGACGTCACGTGTCGGGGCTGCGTGTGATTTCTACGACAGGACACAAAACGGCAGCGAATGTCGCACGGCCAGTACAAAGGACCGGTAGGGAGCAGAAATTGCAATCGTATCTTGTTTTCTTTTTGGCTGCTAGGGCTGCTCAGAGATCGCCAACATCCCGCTGTCGCCTTCAGACTGCATCGCTCGCAGGCAATGCCGATGGCTATAGCGATGTCTACGGGGGTCAGCAGCATTGTCCATTATTATGGCCGCCACTGTTGGCGGCATTCTTGTTGCTGCTGTTGTTGTTATTGTTCAGCTGTCGCATTGTCACATTGAGCTCGCTCGTCTTGTCAGTCGATAAAAATTGAATAAGTTAGCAGCATGGGGCGAGAAGAGCTGCTGAATCTGGTTGGAGCTGCCCGCCTGTAGGGGCAGAGCAGACAGCTTCTGATAAATGCATTGTAATGTGTCAAGTAGAGTTTCCTTTAAAATAAATTTAAACAAATTGAAAACGAATGGCAGACAAGCACTGCGGAATGTGCACAGTTTGAGTTCTTATTATTATTGTTGCTTATCCACAGCGCTGCTTTTCGAAATAGCTTTGATCTTAGGTCGCAGCTAAAGTGCAATATGATCTGCTTCTTTAATCCTACCCAAATATAGACTTCATTTAAAATCGCAGCTGCTCATTGGGCAATTAAAATTGGCGAAACTTTACAATGCTACAGAAATTGTCATGACATTTAACCAAATTGAGCTAGTCGCAACTGTAGCACCTGGCCCTGACTCGACGGTATTTTGAGAGAACCTCGGGATGTCGGGTACAGTTGCCCCTCTCTAGCCATCATTCTGCAGTTCTTCCTTAAGTCAACCAGGCGGCAAACAAATTACTAATTGGCAAGCAAAACGCTCTGCTTGTTTTCCAACAAACAACACAACGACCAGCAGTTCTCTGGGTTGGCGTGGTGTTGTGTGGTCTGGTCGTGTCTGGTCTGGTCTGGTCTGCCAGCACGAATTTCGAAAGGATACGAAGGTGGTACATACATAGCACACAAGCTTCATTAACTCAAACTATGCTGCATATTGCGATTATCAAATTGTCTTTGCACACATGAAGCCAATGAGGGGCTGCAGTGTGGCCCCCGCTCCCAGCTTCCAGCCAGCACAGAGCGCAGACTACCGACTGCCAACTGCCGACTGCTGATGGCAAATAGCAAGTGCAAAAGTTGCAAGGAGGGAGTCCCTAGCCAGGCAAATTCAATGGACAAACTGGCAACCGCAGAAATATGAAGCGCACGGTGCGACGATGACAGCATTAACAACAACAGCAACAGCAGCAACAAGAATGTAATTCTAAGCGATACCGCAGATTAGATACTCTTCCTGAAATTTGACAAACGAATAGCAAACTGACTTACATTGAGCGACTCACTCAAACATACTTAGTTGAACGCAATGATATAGATATTCCGTTGATTTATTTATATACCTGTTAACGGGGTATTTTATTTGTTATGTTATGCCAGAATTTGGAAGTCACTGACCCGATGGAGGAATGTCCTATCCTGAAAGCAAAGATTTGATTAGAAGAAGACATGCAGAGAGAGAGAGAGAGAGAGGCAGAGTTCAGTAATGCTTTGTCCACGTTTGTCAGGTATAGTTTCTGGTGCATGTAGATCGATCAGAGAATGGAATAACCTCATTCTACTCATATTTTTTTGCTAATTTCTTTGAAAAATATTTTAAATGTTTGTAAAACAGTTCATTTACAGATTATATAATTTTATTGCATTATTTCGCTTATCCCTCGACAAGCAGAACAAATTTCATACACACATATATAGACTAGACGGAGATGACATTTTCAACACACAATTCGTGACAAAATCATTATACCCTTTAAAAGGGTATACAGACAACAGCACCATAGGTGTTGTCTCTTTAAAGCTGTAAAGGGGTGGAAAAACTCGAAAACGCTTCAGGATATTTTGTAGAACAGACGGCAGATGATGGTAACGATGCTTGCTATGGCAGAGTGACAAACTGACTCAACTGGACGCAGACTGGAAAGCAACTGGACACATGCCGCATTATTACACCTGACTGTGATTAGGGAGACGGCGCTGCACCAAAACATGTACCGATTGTGAGGTGTGTGGAGCAGTATGAGTTAAGCGACCTGCTGATTGATGGTTACGAAGGTTCTGGGAGTGTCACAGGATTTAGGACTTAAAGGGTTACTTAAAGCAAATCGAGAGGTTGTCAATCAAACGGAGCACAGTATAAATGAGCGGACGAAACTGAGGGATAGCCTGACCGCAAGGATTATATAGAAGGAAAGTGTGCCTTTAAAAGGGATTTTACGAAACCCTTTTTTCCATGCAACTTCTTTATAAACTGCATACTCGACTTCTGTACACACAGTTGCACGTTATGGTATCGGCTTCGTGACAGGCGGTGTCATTCTTCATACTCGGTAGCTTTAACCGTACCTCAGGGAGGATCTGCACCAGTTTGAATGGCCTTCTCAGTTGCTAATTGTTGTTGTTTTTGCCACGAGGAAAAACAAAACTTTCGCTAATGCAAAATGTAGGTCACTGTGTAGGATTGCAGCAAAACTTCAGAGGCAACCGCTTTCCGTTTGCTCCCCGGGACTCCTGCCACTCACTTTGTTGTTATGTGCAAATATTTTCCATTTAATTAACGCATGGAAACTAGCTGCAAAGATAGTTTATACGGGAGAGGGTTACGGTGGGTCTCTGTCGCAGCAGATTAAAATAAATTGCATAGAAATTTATCATTCGAATCTCGGGCTAGACAACAACAACAGCAACAACAATAACTACAACAACCGCAATAAAAGCAAAAACAACAACAACTTGACACAGTTGCAAAACTTGGCAAGAAACTGGAGCTTAGGGTCACTTTCTCTGTGTATGTGCGTGTGTGTGTGTGTGTGTGTGTGTGTGTCTGTAATTGTGTGCTTGTGCCATAATTAATCATAATAAAACCAGAGGCAGCAGCGAACCAGGTAAATGCGAGAGCTATTCGGAAAAAAAGCAGCCACACTTTTCCAACATATTCTTTGCCATCAAAATAAATGAGCCAATTAAGCGGGCCACAAGTGAAAATGGTTGGCAAAAGCTTCCGTGTCCTGATGAGGGTAGACCTTAATCGTCCGAGTCTCGAGTCCTACACCACACGAATCTCAGGCTCAGGTGTTGCGCATCATCATCAGCTTCTCGGATTGCCGCTGATTTCCTTGGCTGTGCCAATTTATGCGCCTGCTGCTGAAATTTATTTATTTCTCTCAGCGATTCCTCTTCACTCGTCCTCTGCTGGACGTGCCGGCGGAGGGTGTTGACTGAGGTTAAGTCGTTTGAAAATTTGCTTCTAATGAAACTAAAAGAGCCGCTAATTGTTGCACCGTTGTCAACGTCGCGACGGTGGCTTTCAATGGGTTTTTGGCTTGTGAAATTTCCTTGGATCGCTAATTGAAATCAATTTGCATTGGCCTCAAAGTTTTTCAACTAGTTCGGTTGCCTCATTAAGTTATCTGCGGCTTCTAAGAATGAATAAACTTGGCACAAGGGCTCAGACTACACCCTAAAGATAATTTCTAATTTACTTACCGATATTTTTCGAGTAAAAGTATTGTTTTTTCTTCTGCTGACAGTTTCTTATAATCTCATTCTTTCTATTTTGGTTTCTTTTCAGGTACGTAATGATCTTCAATAACTCAGGCATTTCCTGGGGTAAGCAAATTATAAAAAAATCCCCAAATTTTATACAATTCATTCAGCTCACCCAAGCTACTGAGCAAATATTATGCACACTGATATCATTCCTAAATATATTTGCACAGTTCCACGTATTATAGCTCAAGTAGGCTAAGCTATGCGGCATCATGTAGATAAAGATATAAGAGTCATTTTAAGTCTGAAAACGCAATTTTACAAAGCCTGGCCAACTTATTAACTACAGTTGTGTTTAAATTTTATTGCCTTATATAATCGAATTTCTGGGTTTATCACGAATCCAACCCAACAGCTGGCACAGTTGTTTTACTACGACTCCAATATGCATCGGGTAACATTTTGTTATTCTTAAAAAAGCAAAGCAACTACTCTTTTAATTGTCTATCTTTAATGTCACTTATCTTAACAAGCTGAGGCTAAAACGCAACTAAAACTAATTAGAGCTATGGCACGTAACTTGACACAAATCATGTGGCAGCTGTTCCGCTCCTGGGCCCACTTCATCACCAGCTCCAGCTTTTGCGACAGCAGCTGCTTGGGGTTCCATTGTATTTGCATGTTGCTGCATGCTTTTTAGATGCAATTGCTGCTCCTGCCCCGCCGCACGAACGACCGCAAAGGCAATGGAGGCGCCCAGCAGCGAGCCGGCCACAACATCCGACCAATGGTGTTTGTAATCCATGACACGGCTCAGTCCGACAAATGAGGCGAACCCGACACAGAGCAGCTGGCACGATGGACGCACTAAACTGCCAGGCAGCGGCCAGCGGATGCGCTGCAAGTGGAGCGCCATGAAGACAAGCCCATAGAAGGCCATGCTCGAGTGGCCACTGGGAAAAGAGACGTGCACATCGCGCAGCATCTCAGCTGTGGCGCCCGACAGTTCCGGTTGGCAGGTGTAAGTCATGTGGTAGACGCCGCCCTGCCGATGAGCATCATCCGAGCAGAAGCCGCCATCGGACAGCTGTGGCCGACAAACCTCAAAGAAATGAGGACGCAGCCTGCCTATTACTTGCTTGGCCATGTCCTTGATCAGAGTCTCTGCAGCATGTCCAAACACGAACCAGCGTAGGGTATTGTACGCAGGCCAAAACTTTTGCCAGCCCACGCCTGCTGTTCGCCAGCATCGACTAGTCTCCAGGATAAGCAACACCATCAGCGGCAAATGCAAGCTCATCCAATGAAGCACGGCGGGCGACACCGTGTTCTCCTGGTAGGGATACATTAAGGTCTCATCGTCACAGAAGAATCCACGTTTTGTTGTGGGCCCCCACAGGTTTTTGACGTTCGCGCCCAGGACGAGCAGCACGCCCAACAACACCACATCCAGCAGCAGGCGCAGGTGCCCCCGATAGATGGAGAGCCAGTTAAGCCTTAGATCGAAGCTCATGTTGGTTCGCTCGGTTGGGTGTTTCACGCGTCACTGATCGCACCGAGAGACGAGCCCAACGTTGAAGCCGAGACTGAGATTTCGATGTTATGAAATTTTGTTCCAGCCACTTTAGCAATTTAATCTTTTCATGAGCTGAATTTATATTAATAACAACGAAGCCACTTGGCAACTTAGGCATAGCAAATACTGAATACCCTAACATGGCTGCAAGCCGTTTACTGCTTTAGTTCTTGTACCTGGTTTTTCACATCTGCTGTCGTGGCTTCTTTAGATTTTGAAAGGCTTAGATTAAATTGATTTCTCGAAAATAGGATTTCCGAATTATCTTTAATTTTGAATGTTATTTGAATAGCTGAAGCTTCAAGGTAATCGCCTTTTCCAAGCTTAATGCATTAGTTGTTCTAGCCTGTAAGCGTAAGTTCACCATATTTAGTATGTGGGCATAATTTCCAGACCCACCCAACAAAGCTCTGACGCAGTCTGCTTATAGGAAAACCACCAAGGGGTAAGTGCTTTTTGTGGAATGGGCTTAGTTAATGATTGCCCGGGCTGGTTTGTAATCACGTCAGTCCCTGAATATTCGCACTTGCTTCGGCGAGTTCCAGGCCTTATCTGATAAGAACCAGCTGCACGGGGGCACGTGTTGGGGACTCTATTTAGCTTCGATGTTTTTATTTGTTTATGTGTCTGGCCTTGAAGGTTCGCAAAACACGCGAGTTTGTGTTTTTTTTTTTGCAGCTTGGAATTGGAACTGTCTATTCATAATATTATTCGATTCGAGCGGTTGACAACCCAATAATTATAGATTTCTGTTGAGCTTTAAGCGAAGGCTATTTGCATTAATAATATACTTAAAGCATTGTTTATGTAATCTGCGGGATTAAAATTTGATATTCGGAGAACACGTGATTCACTATCCCAACATTGGATATGATCAAAGCTTGTTCCTTACTAGAAGCATACGAATTCCCACGATCATTCAAAGGTTAACCCAAAACGAATTTTATCATTAAATTTACTCCGTTTGTGTTCCGTGAGTGTGACGCAGCAAAAAAAGGTCGAAAGCTATCAGTTTAAAAGGATCGAATAGAAAATACCCTGGTTAGGGGAATATCTATCAATGTTAACAAGCATCAACAAGCAAGTTCATGCTGTTTGATGTATATATGTAAATAATAAATATAGGAAATAATATAAAAATTATATAAAACAAAGTATGTACGATTAAAAATATGACTGCTCGCTCAATAAATAATTGCAACTCGCTTCTACCCTGCCTTAAAGATAGCATAAGTACAGGGTACAACAAACTTCTGTCTATATGCTAAAAATATCATTTGTGACTCACACAGGTAGCAACTTGCTGTTAACCATCTTATGAAAAAAAAGTAAACAATTGAAGAATTTTGATTAGACAAAGTGAAATTTGTAGATCATTTTAGAGTAAATGCAAGCAAATGTAAAAGAAATAGCATGAGACAATAAACGCGTGTACACACAGCGTAATCATAATAATAGAAGCACCTACGCAAAATATGTGACATTGGAAAAGTATATTTGGATCGCAACAATCGACGGTAATGGAATTCAACGAAGCGTAAAGTGGGCAAATATTACTCATCACCATAGGCAACATTGTTTACATGATCGTTCAGATAACAAAAAGAGTATATTGATTCGGTATTGGGCTAATCAAACGCTGGAGTATTTTAGACTGTAGACTTCCTCTTAATACATTTGGTTTAGCGTCGAGCATTATACCCTTGAGTAGGGTATTATAATTTGGTTATGAAATGTGTAACGCAGAAAAGGAAACTTTTCCGGCCAAAAAAAAATATATATACAATATATTTTCCTGATAAGCATCAACAGTGATCTTTCAGTTTGTTTTGTAGGCAGAATATATGTCTTCGGCCAACTATCCATGTCCATTTGTCTGTCTTTCCGTCCGTCTGTATTAACGCTACGATCTTTAAGACTATAAGAGGTATAGACCTTAAAATAGAGCTAGACACACCATATTGGGCATGCAATTTTTCATATAAATCACGGAGTGTGTAGCTCTTTAGATAATAGGCTTATTCTCCCCAATATTTATAGAGGCCAGGCTAATTTTGTAAAAAAAACACATCTTAATAGTATGAGAATTCAAAATTTGACCGATAAGTTGCCTATTCGGGCACTCCCAACAGGAACACTCACATTTGATTTTCTTCTTAAATTTATTACATAGATAATACAAAAAGAAAACAGGATGACAATTTTATGAATCTTATTTCCAGCGGAACATATATTGAATGAAATCTTTACAAATGTATATGAGCGATTTGACTGTAGACTATGAAAAACTAAAAAGTATTTTAATACCACAAAAGATGCACGATTTATAGACTACTTATGAGTACTACAAGTCCCTACAATGCTTGACAAGTATATATGTATATATATACATAAACTTTTGCACAGGACGCGTTTTGCGTGTATATTTTATTTGCTTTGGAATGTTTAATTACAATTTTGCACTTTTCTTCCACTCGACGATCTCTGATCGTGGAAGGGTTGTCCTCTGTCTAAACTTTGGTACAATACTGATCTTCGTTGTAACTGCTATTAACACAGTAGGGGGGCGGCGTGCTGGGGCACACCTCCTCCTGCAGCGTGGCCGAGGTGTCCTCCCTCCTCAGCCCACCGCCCAGAGGGACGTCGCTGAACGGCGATTTGAAAAACTTGGCAATGTAGCGGGCGGTTATCAAGGCTACGGTCACGCCTATCAGCGAGCCGACGAGCACATCCGACCAGTGATGCCAGCTGTCCATGACGCGGCTCAGCGCAGTGTACCATGCCAGCATGATGAGCACGAACTGCAGAAAGTGGCGCGCAAAGTTGGAGCTGCGCCAAGTCACCTTGCGCTGCAGATAGAGCGCCACGTAGAGGAGCGCGTAGAAGGCGATGCTAGAGTGGCCGCTGGGGAAGCTAAGACGCGCCTGCCGGACATCCGCAATGGTATAGCCCTCTCCGGCGCACTCGTAGTTCTCCACATAGCGATGCAGGTTGACCGGATCGGTGCATAGTGTGCCGTCGTTCAGCTGAGGCTGGCACACAGCAATAAAATGGGGTCGCAGGCGTCCAATCGTGTACTTGCCCACCTCGGTGGCATCGAAGGTCAGCAGAATACCGAAGCCAAAATAGGTCAACTGACGGGCCAGCTCCACATACCAGGTTGACATCTGCCAGCCGAGCAGCTCCACCGTCGACGACAGCTCACCGGCGCGCAGAGCATGCACATACTCGACCACAACGAAGATTACGAGCGGTAGTGCGCCGGCCAGCAGGCCCAACATCACGGGCGTGACAGTGTTGTCACTGAACGGGTACCGTATGCTCTCATCGTCGCAGAAGAAGCCGCGCCGCGCCGGCTCCACGGCAAACTCAAAGATGCAGATGGGTATCGTTAGCACCACTATGATCAGCAGCTCGATGAGCAGGCGGCGCGCCACTCGGCGCTGGGCGGCGGAAGCACGCCGTACTTCGCTGTCCGTCTGGGCGGCGGGAGCTGCGCTATTTTCATTGGCGGCGTCGAGCATTTTGTCGGTAGTTGGTTGGCGTCGGCGTTGGTCTGAATGCGTTTTTAATTAGTTAATATTCCAATTTTTTTTTATGCTGTTTAATTAAGTTTGGGTTCGTTGGTTTTTTATACCCGTCGGATTCGTTAACGTCGTTTCGGGTTCGTTGTCAGTGACTGACTGAACCGGCCTCGAGTGGGTAACGTTCTTTTAATTTAACGATCATTTCATGCACGACGGCGCTCTTCTCACATTGTTTTCAGTGTCTCTCTCCCTCTCTGATCCTCCTCCCGGCTCGCCCTCTCACTCGCCGGCTCTGCGTCAGAGCAAGTTTATTACGGAGCTTAGCAATGTAGCTGAGATCTGCATTTGTCTAGATTAGACAACAACCAATTCACCATGTATTTGCATTCGACGGGAGCACTGCAAGAAAAATTGACTGATGTGAGAAATTAAAGTAAACACAAGAAAGTAGAATGAAGGCATTGTGTTAAATTAGTTTGCTCGACTACAAAAGCCCCTGTACCCCACAGCTATAAAGGTTCAACAGACAGTCTCATAAGCTGATTCTTTCGCGTACATCACACTATTGAAAATCAATGACATATATATTTGACTAGAATTGAGGGAGGTGGGGATAGATATCTAAAAAGTTGAATATTCCCAATCGGTATATACGGTATACTATACGAGAGTCTACATACTAAATTTGGTGTATCTTATAATTATATAGTTATTGAGTTATTCTTCAAAAACCAAGTTTGAGAATCAATTCATTGGAAATGTTAACAGATATCGATTAAAACATGTTCATACAGACAGACATGGCAAAATAGAGTTAGCTTGTTTTTATTGGATAGAAGAAAGAGACAGACTTCTGCCTTTTACATACATTTGCGCAAACACAATACACCCATTGTTACCCATTTTCAATGCGTACATGGTAAACAAATTCGCAAGTCTGCGGCCTTTTGCACAGTGTAGAATGTGCCGCACTTGATAAGCTCAAGTAAAATACCGCCTCAAGATCGGTTTGATAAGATAAACAAGCCCGTGTTCCAGATAAGAGCGCACCGCAGGCACGCCTGTTGTGCCCGATTCGCCAGCCTCGTCACCTGCCCCATCAACAAATTTTTGTGCAAGTTCATTGATGCTCAGCTTATTTTAAAACAAAACGGGCTGCTCAGACAGTGTGCGTTTTTTATATTCAGTTAAACAATCGCTTTCACCTACTGCGACGTTCGATAAGAGAATGGCATTTTCTGGCCAATATCTTGGGTCAACAGGCTGTTGGAGAGTGATTCACTTGATTTACTCATCAGTTCGCTAAGTTAAGTAGTCGTCTATTGTTCTGGGCAAATGATGCATAAAATAGGCGCGTCGCACGCACCCAATGGCAGATTTGCATTATCATCTGCTGGCGGCAGCTGAAAGTGCAACGCGGACACACTCGACAACGGGAGCATGGAGCGCACGCTAATCTGTTGCTCTTCTTGCCCAAGAATGGCCCCCATTGTGTGCTTTGATCTTTGGCTGATCTCTGCGCTCGTCAACGCCGTCTGGCTGAGGGAGTTGCTGTTGTCCTCAAATCGCATGCGACATGCCCATGTATGCACAAAGTTGAAACAGTCAATTTTATTAAAAAACAAGTAATAGTACTCTGTTCGGGAGTGACTGACTAGCAAATACCCTGCCCTCAGTACTGAGCTATCTACCTACCTACCTCCAAATCACCCCTAACATGCACTGCGCACTTTGTACATACACTTTATGTATGGGCAATGCATTCTAAGCTAACTTCGGTGCTTATAGTCCGATCATAATTGAACTTTCAAACTTTTAATATGGTATGAATTCTAAAAGTGTGTTTATACCAAAGGACATTAAAAACCCGTTTGTTTTCCAATTTTGGGCAAATATCTAGATCGACTCTGCTCGTCGTCCTGATCCATAATACATATATATATGTTCTTCTCCCTGTCCCACATATTTTCCCCAAAACATTATACCCTCTTTAGCCATTTCAAATGGGTTCAGGGTATAAAAAACATAAGCTCATATGTCACTGAGTTCACCTCCCCTCCAAGTGAGTACTCATACTCGCACTCGCACTCGTACTCGTACTCGTATTCGTTTGGTGGGACGTCAACCTTTAATTGAATGAATAAGCGACATTTGATTGAATTAAGGCTCTCGTCTGTGTATGTTTCTCTTTTTAGCATATGTATCTACATATATTGCATACTCGGATGCGGCAGCTGGCGCTTATTTTGCCTCTGTTTGACTTTGTGTTGTGCGGGTTAACCGTTGGCATTTTAAAATGCACTTTGAACTTAATGCACTAAATGCATTATTATTACGATTTTTGTTTTTTGTGCATACATGTGAAATGTGAAAACTTAAAAACCTAAAAGCATTTTATCATGTCTAAATTCAGGCGTATGTGCATCTTTATGTGTACATATATTTTATTTATAGTACAAATTCGTTGTATTTCCATTCCGTTTTTTAAGGGAATTTAAGCTTATTCTTTTAACCCTTTTTAAAGTATTTTAAATAGGTAAATTTGCTAGTTTTCATTTCAGGGTCAGTTTCTGATACTTCAATTTCTACTCACTTTTGTGGCTTTCTTATAGCAATATTTATAATTTCTTATTGTTACGCCCCCTTCTGATTAATATCGTACAGCTGCACTACGCATATTAACCACAAAAGTTAATTTTATGATCGTTTATTTGCTTTACGATTATTGCCACTGCACCGAACCGAATTCAAACATCGAAGCGCCGCTCGCCGATCGCAACTGAATCGTCGTCGAGCGCTGTTTGTTGTTGACTTTGTAAACAAAACTCTTTTGTCCACTTGTTGCTGTTGTACTTGTTGTTGGGATCGTTGCTCAACGCTGGTTATGCCATTGACAGAAGCGAGAGAGTAGATAGACAGAGAGTGATCGTGCGCGAGCGAGAGCGAACGGCTTGCGGAGAGTAAGCTTAGCGTGGACTGCGAGTGTACAGTGGTCTTTCACTTGTTGTGTGGATCGTAAGCTGACCTGTCATAGAAATTGGTTTGTATCTTGGCTGAAGGTGTGGGTTGTTCGGTAAGCTTAATATTGGGAACCTTAATGAAAAGACCTTCAATAGCATAACTGATAGATTAATTTATTGACTCGAGTCGTTTGCTAAATGAACTAATTGACATTTAATAGCCATATGTGGCCCGATTATAGTAGCCCGCATAGCCGTAGATCTGCTCGTTCCTTGGCCACTGGCGGCGCTTGACTCTCACCTGCTTGAAGAGATGCGCCACAAAGACAGCCATGAAGGAGGCCAGCAGAACGCCCAAAGCCAAGCCGGCGGCTACATCCGACAAATGATTTTGGTAGGTGGAGATGCGCTCCAGACACACTAGCATGGCCATCGCACCGCAGGCCAGCTGCAGCGTTGAACGCAGCACTCGCAGCCAGGGCGCAAAAAGTCGTGCCTGGGCATAGTAGACTAGGAAGCACATGGCGTAGCTTGTGGTGGCCACAAAGCCGCTGGGAAACGAGTGACGCACCAGCGCGAGCAGCTCCAGCGAAGCAGCAAACTCGGTGCAGCTGTAGTCGTCGATGTAGCGGGAAGCGTTGCGCGGCGAGAGCAGCTCGCAGCTCTCCTTGGCCTCAGCCTCACCCCAGCTGGGCTGGCACACATCAAAGAAGTACGGACGCAGGCGGCCTGTCGAGAACTTGGTGACTCTGATGACCAACAGAGCCAGGCCCAATCCGAACAGATAAACGCCAATGATCTTGTAGCACTCGCTGATAAAGCTGGGAATGCGAGCGCCGACGAAGACAAATCGCTGCTTTAGCTCCGCCGAGCTGGGCACAAAGGCAGCCCTCAGCAACTCCACGACGAGAATGAAAGCCGCGGGCAGCGCCACCACCGCCATGGTCAGGTGCACCTTGGTCAGCCAAGGCTGGCGATACGGATACCGCAGACTGGCATCACTGCAGTGGAAGCCGCGGTGAGCTGTCACCAGCTGCTGCGGCAGCACCACCAGCGCGGCGCAGTAGACACCCAGCAGCAGCAGAAAGTCAATGATAAGCCGCGAGAGCAGTCGGGTGTTCGGATTGCCGCACATTTTGACACTGGCTCTAAGATTTGGATGCTAAAGTGGTATGGCTTGCAGCTGTGTTCGCGGCTAATTTGCATGTTTATCGAAGTTACGAGGGGCCAAGCTAGTTGCCACCATGAAAACTTGTTTCAAAGCCCCCTCCATTCAGCTCGGCACGTTCTTTGTTGTCGGAAACTCGGAAACAATGCACAGCCCAAGTCCCAGCCCAAGTCGCCGTGGCCAGCATTCCCAGGCTGTTTATCGATTGCTCAAGTATGCAAATCTTTATTAATTTATTCCTCGTCTCTCGTCTAGCTGAAGTCCATTTCGCTGTGGGTTTTGCTAACGTCTAATTTGGGCCATAGAAATGCTGTTGATTATTTGCAGCTCCACAGTATTTTGAGGCCTTTTTAAGTTCTTTTCAAATGGCAGGCCATATTGTGTATTTCTAAAGAAAAGCCAAAGTAACTGTAAAACTATACGGAATATTCTCAGGCATTATTTAATCATCAATTATTTGATTTATATGAAATCGCAGCAATGCCCTGAATATCTTTTGGTTGCTGGAATGCCAATCTTTCAATTGCAAAGATTTAGCTATGCGTGCAGCCTTCCGACTCATCTATTGCTGAACATTCAGATGTTCCACTTAGCTAACTTTCAGTGAAACATGCGCCAAGTCTTCTCTCATATTTATGGCCACAGCTCGATGGACCCAATTGATTGCGCACTTTCTACTTTGGATTTACTCGTGGGCGCCAATCAATCAACATTTCATCTCATTGCCGAATTCTCGAAAGTGAAACATTTTTCTATATTATAATTAATATCGAGTGTTTATTACGCTAAACTACAAAAACAAAACAGAGATTTCGTCTGCGAGGCTCCAGGAGCACCTGCCTCATGGACAACTTAGTCGGCTCAGGGCACGTAGCCATAGTTGTGATAAGTTTGGGCGTATTGCGCTTGAGCCGGATGCGCCGCCAGATAGGGCAGCGTGCCAAAGGTGTAGGCGGGCAGTGCGGGTGGAACTCCGTTGCCAGCAACTTGAACCGCTGCGGCATTGGATTGGGATTTGGTGGAGCTCTTCGGCGAAACCTGGGCCTTCTTCAGCGTGTTGGCCGAGTAGCCAGTGCGATTCCAGCGCT